TATAATCAAATACTGTCCTAAGTATCGAGAGACCCGAACGGCTGCTCAAGGGCCAAAAGGCTGCCGCCGGTAGGGGTAGCAACTGCCCCTACCAATAGGCCATGTGGGGAACATAGCGCTAGCCGCCAGGAGACTCCCACACCACATGTGCCTATGGCAGAGGTTGCAGGCCGGTGTCTAGATAGCTGCCCAAAGACTGCTTGTGTTAGGGTCTCTCTAGACACCTCCCTCACAGGCGTGGCCGAAGAATTGAAGGAAAGGATGCCCGCCTGGGCCAAGATGAAGAAGGACAATAAAGGGCAACTTATACTACTAGATACAAAGATTTTTAGAGGAAGAGTAGGGGCCCTAGTAGACTCAGGGGTCACCCGCAGCTATATTAGCAAGAAAGCGCTGCAGAAGTTGAAGCTGGGACTTAAAGTCCAAGAAGCTAACAGACCCTATAGTGAGTATCCTTGCGGATAATCGCACGATGCGAGTAGAGGATTACGTAGAGGGAGTCCAGGCATACTTCCGCCTAGAGCAGGATGGGAAAGTGGAGAAGGTCCTCCACTCCCTGACTCTCCTCGTAGAAGACAACCTCCCATTTGATATTGTTCTAGGGATGGATTGGGGAGAGGCAGCCGGGGCCACGCTCCATCTGAAGGAGCACGAGTGTAGGCTCCCTAGTTCTTCAGGCGAGGCCAAGACTGCCCGCCTATTCCATGTGTCAGGAGTAAAGAACCCTTGGCACATTGCTGCCTTAGTGCTCCTGCGTTCGCCAGATTAGTGAAGAAGGAGAAATTGGAGGAACAAGTTTTTGTTGCCTATGTTAGGCCAATCACTGAGCCTAAGGAAGAAAAGCCTATAGACCCTGCTATTGCCAAGTTGCTGGAAGAGTTTAAGGACCTAGCTGAGCCGCCGACAGGGACAGTGTCGCGGCCCATCCAGCACCGTATTGAGATAGAGCCTGGCAGTAGAACTCCTAAGGGTGTTGTGTATAGGATGTCCCCGCGGGAGTTGGAAGAGCTACGGAAGCAATTGGACGAGCTTCTCGAAAAGGGTTGGATTAGGCCTAGTTCCTCTCCGTTTGGAGCACCTGTTCTCTTTGTTCCTAAGAAAGAGGGAGAGCTGAGGATGTGCATAGACTATAGGGGTCTGAATGCTATTACAGTAAAGAATGTTGAGCCACTGCCTAGGATAGACGATCTCTTAGATCGGGTGCAGGGGGCGAAGTATTTCTCTAAGATAGATTTCAAGTCCGGATATCATCAAATAGAGGTGCATCCTGATGATCAGTATAAGACAGCCTTCCGGACTTAATATGGGCACTATGAGTTCATAGTGATGCCCTTTGGACTAACCAATGCGCCAGCTACGTTCCAGCGCTATATGAACGATTTGTTTAGGCCATGGTTAGATAGATTTGTTGTTGTCTACTTAGATGATATCTTAGTGTTTCGCAAGACCCTCCAAGAACATCAGGGTCATCTCAGGCAGGTCTTGGAGAAGCTGAGGGAAGTTAACTTCAAGATCAACGCAAAGAATTGCGATTGGGCAAAGACCCTAGTGTTGTACCTAGGCCAGACGGCGTCAAACCAGAAGATTGTAAAATCGCAGCGATTAGAGATTGGCCCACGCCGCGCACGCTGACAGAGTTGCGCTCGTTCCTGGGCTTAGCTAACTATTACAGGAAGTTCGTGAGGAACTTCTCCACCATCGCTGCGCCCCTTCGCAGATTGTTGAGGAAGGAGACCATCTGGAAGTGGGACAAGGACTGTACGTCTGCCATGAAGAAATTGAAGCAGGCATTGATAGAGTACCCGGTCCTTAAGGTAGCCGATCCGTCCTTGCCTATGTCGTCACTACGGATGCTAGTCAGTACGGCATAGGCACGGTGTTGCAGCAAGACGATGGCAATGGTTATAGACCCGTAGAGTTCATGTCCGCCAGAATGCCTTCAGAGAAGGTCGCGACATCTACCTATGAGAGGGAACTCTACGCTCTCAGGCAAGCCTTAGAACATTGGAAGCACTACTTGCTTGGGAGGCACTTCAAAGTCTATTTCGATCATGAGACATTAAGATGGTTAAAGACGCAGGCCAAGATGACACCTAAGCTTACTAGGTGGGCCGCGGAGATAGATCAGTACGACTTTGAGCTCAAGCCAGTCAAGGG